TGCCTCCACCTGCTGGCTGCTCAGCCTGGCTTTCCTACAGCAGGGACCATGGGGTGAGCTGCTCACACCACAGAATTACAGAGTACCCCAAACTGGAAGGACCCATAATGATCATCGAGTCCAACTGATGGCTCCACATAGGAACACCCAAAATTCAAATCCTATGTCTGAGAGCATCCTCCAAACATTTGGGGCTGTGAACATTGCCCTGCGGAGCCCGTTCTGTGCCCATCACCCACTGGTGGGGAGCCCCACTTTATAGGAAAATCCCCCTTAGATGCCATATCTACACAGATCCTAAGAGTTTGCCTAAAAACCTGATGTGTGCATGAGTGCAGAGCCAGCTGGGATGAGATAACCGATGGTCAGAGCACAGAGAAATCCTCCCCTTGTGACTCAGTGCTGCGTTGAGGCTCTTGCTTAACCTTCAGCCCAGGAAATATCACTGCAGTCCCTGAGGTCACCGAGGGGCTCCTGGGCTGGGCAAGAGCTGCAGGGCCGTGTGGGCTCTGAGCCACGCCATGCACACAGCAGAGGGTGGAAGAAGCTGCTGCTGGGAGCACATCAGCCCACCCCAGCGCTCCCTTGCCTCCAGCACAACGCAATTATTTCAAATGCAATTTGGATCCCCTACTGAAAAAGAAGTCAAGCTCTCTCTGCCTGAATTACAGAAATCCCAGACAACCCATAATCCACTACAGGAAACACAAACGCCTAATGCAATTTTCTGGGCGGCCAAAGGGTGCCAAGCGTGCTGGCCCAGGCAATAGATTGCAGATTTCTGCATGAAAAACAGCAAAAAAATTCAAACACATTGGCAGGAGGCCGGGCCTGCAGCTCCTCCTGGTGCTGCACAGACCTTGGGAACCTCGCAGCGCTGCTGGGGCCCCGCAGCGCGCAGGAACACGGCCATATTTAGGCATGTTCTCCAGTCCCTTCTCCCAGCCCTGCCTGCTCAGCTGCTGCTGGGGAGGAGAGCGGGGTTACAGGCTGAAGCCAAAGTAAAATCTTATCACCCTGGGTGCAGTGCAGAGGGGGACACACGAGGCTGCTGCAAAACTGCAGTGGAGCCCCTGACTGCGCGAGGGGAAAGCTGGAAGCAATCTGTGTGCCTAAGTAAAGGTGGCTGCAGTGCCCAGTGATAGCCATGTCGTTACACAACACTATAGGGTCGTCTCCCAGACTCTCTGACACTGATTTTTAGAGGCATAGGGTGTCCTTCCTCCCCAGTTCCCCTTCTCCAGGCAGCAGCTCGTTGGGTGTCCCAGCTGCACGCCTGCCTTTCCTTTGCATCTCACCGCAGTGCTCAGCTTGTGCTGTTTGCTTAGGTTAACCACAATACCTGCACAATGGACTTTACCCTGGATAGTACCCACACAGTGCCAACCTACATTCATGCAGCTGTACACACATACGTGTAAGGGGCCACCCAACTGCAAAGCAACTTGGCAGAAAGGTCCTGGGGTGCTGGTGGATGCCATGCTGAACACGAGCCAGCAATGTGCTGGAGCAGCAGCCCAGGTGCTTTGGGAAGCTTTTCAGCATGCCACGTGGGCTGGAGTAACCTTCTGCAGGGCTCTCCTTCACAGTATATGAGGCACATCACCAGAAGAAGGTGCAACTGCTCTACCTCTCCCTTACAAATGCTCAGATTTAGAACTGTAGAATGTCTTGGTTTGGAATAGACCTGACAGATGATCCAGTTCTAACTCCTCTGCTGTAGGCAGGTTGGGTCTGGTCTGGCATCAGGAATGTGACCCTCTCTGCCCCCTGTGCTGCATGGGGAAGTGCTAAGGAGGAACTGAAAGCAGCTTCTGACATGTGCTCATCAGCTGGCCCCAGGAGGCTGCAGCATCTCAGAGGGCCCAGTGGCCTGGCCAGGGCTCTGTCCTGCTCCTTGAACGGGGCAGGAATGGGAAAATGGGCTCTGGAGGGAAGAGGTGGCCTCAGTGCCTTGGAGCATGCTGTAGGAAGGCTGTCTCCCCTACTGCAGCACCAGGAGCACTCAGTGCCAGGAACTGTGGGGAAAGAAGTAGAAGGTGGGCTCTGCACTGTGTGATGCTGCTTTGTAAGGCAGCACACAGAATGTTTCCCTGGATACAGCAGAAGCAAAGAGCAGGAAGCACATTTCTTCAATCACAGCTCCAAGAGCTGTTTCTTTTCCCCACATTAAGCCATCACTTCACCCAAAAGTGAATTCAGGGGAAGTTCAGGTTGGATATTAGAGAAAATTTCTTCTCAGAAGGAGTGGTGCTGCAGTGGCACAGGCTGCCCAGGGAGGTGGTGCAGTCACCGTCCCTGGAGGTGTTCCAGAACCGTGTGGATGTGGCACCGAGGACATGGTCAGTGGGCATGGTGGGGATGGGCTGGCGGTTGGACCAGGTGATCTTAGAGATCTTTTCCAACCTTCATGATTCTGTGAAAAGCAGGGGTCAGCCTGCTTCAGGCCCAGCTGCACAGTGTGCCCTCTGGCTGCGTTGTTTGGCACTGTGCAGCTTCTAGGCACACCTCCCCACTGGGCACTACCACCCCATCAACCTGTCTGCAGAGCCCCAGTTCAGCCCAGCCTTACAGTCACATATGGGAGTTGTGCCTTCCTCCCTAAGAACAGGGTTTAGGAGAGCGATCCACTTATCCTGAGTGATGCACCCTGTCAGAACACCCTCTTGAGTGAGGTTTCCATCAAAAGTCAATTAAGGCCGTGCCGGATGAAGCCCCCTGCAGTATAATTTCAGATTAATTAACAGCACAGAGTTAAATGATGAGTAAAACAGAAGCACAAAGCCAGCTGCTCCATCATCATCACTTCTCCATTTTCCCTCTCTTGTTCTTCGCTGGGGCTGAGTGATAGCAATAAGCACTGGGCCAGAGCCTGCAGTGGGCAGATGCAGGTGGCAGCATCCCAGGCTGTGTGTGAGCAGAGCAGGCAGCAGCCTCCAACAGAATGGTAATACAGGCAAAGACATCCCTGCTTTCACCTCGCCGCTTGTTACCTGGCCTTCTCTGTGCATTTGGATGTTGCAGACTTGCAGTGCCCCGTGCCTGTGATGGAGATGCCAGCATCTCCCTTCTGATGTGCCAGGCCCTCATTGCTTGAGCTGTGTATCACAGGATCATTGAATCCCAGAATGGTGTGGCTGGAAGGGACCTCAAAGCCCACCCAGCGCCAACCCCCTGCCACGGGCAGGGCTGCCACCCCTCAGCTCAGTCTGCCGAGGGCTCCATCCAACCTGGCTTTGAACCTCCAGGGATGGGGCACCACAGCTTCTCTGGGCCTTTGGTGCTCAGTTGTTTGCTTTGCCCAGCCACGCCAGCTCAGAATGGCATCAAGGTCCGAGCAGTCACAAGTTCAGGACTGGAGGCTTTTTTCTCCTTTTCCTTCTGCTTTTGTGCCCATTGTTGGCATCAGGGGAAGGAGAAAAAATGGCGCAGGCAGACAGCAAGCAGCCATCAACCAGTATCAGCTCTCTGTTCAGAAGCTGGGAATACTTGCTGTAAAGTCTAACAGCAAGTTTTGCATCCAAAGCTTTTCAAGGAGGCAGCACAGCTGGGGTCTCAAGTACCAGAGCAGACATCTGAGATAGTTAGAGAAGAAATACAAGACGACAAAATCCTCATCACAAGCCTGGCAGGCCAGGGGCTGTGGCTTGGGACTCAGCTGAAAGCAGCTCTGCTGGAGGACACCCGCCCTCAGCCCAGGAAGGGATGCTGCAGGTTTGGTTATTTGCCTCCACATCCCTGCAGCTGATCATCCTGCCTGCTCCATTCTGCTGCTACAACACGTGCATGCTGTAGCCTGCATCACCAGGAGGACTATTTTTAGTCAGGGTTATTATATTTAATGATCTGGTTTACAGCAGACCCATAAACCTTTGAGCCAGCACAAGCCTGGTGCAGGGATGGGAATGCTTGAAACGTCACTGCCAGTCACTCCATCCTCTAGAACTATATCCATGTACTCCCATTCTCATTCAGGTCCTTCCAACACACACTGTAGTCAGCTCTGAGGTAGGATCAACAGGTAGAACTCCAGCACAACACCCATCGTGCACGATCAATCTTCGAGCTTTGTTTCTGCATGCCCTGTTTTTTTCCCCTCTACCCAACTCAGGCTTTAGAGAGAATACTTTTTCCACTCTTGCTTAGACAAATGCCACCCCCTGGAGGCAGCAGACTTTGATTCTTGCCGTTTTACTGTAGGCTAAATTCTCATTTTCCAGCAGTCCCAGCACTTCCACTCACTGCTGCTCAAGGCTCTTTCTCACCAAGGTTTAAACTTCTGCCAGTTGGAGACTATTTCAGGCCCACGGATGAGCTGTAAGATCAGGCCCCAGCTGTAAGATCACACCCCAGGTGTGATGCTGCAGTGGCAGTGGTCAGGGCCCCAGAAGCTGCTCCAGCAGATTTAAGCTGTATCACCTAAGAACAGGAGGGCCTGGGGCAGCTGAAGCGGCCATTGATCAGAATATAGTCACAAGCTCCTTATTCAATTCTATCCAAAATGTTACAAAGGCAGGATTTTTTGGGGATGAGCTAGAAGATGAGTGAAAGGCAGCTTTGCCAATCCATTGATAAAATAGACTTTGAGACATCCATCACCTCCTCTGCTAACTTTACTTTCCAGTTACTATAGAGATGGGAAATAAAAGCTGAGAATTCGTTTGTAGCTGCAAAACACCACATTCAGCCCAGGAACAGAACCAGCTCAGCCCAGGTGCAGAGCATCACACTTTGGACAGTTAACACTCCGGAAGCACACACACACTCACACACACACACTCACAGCAGAGGTGTGTTGTCTTCCTCCAAAATCTGTGCCATTGGCCACTGCCAGCTGCCACAGCGATACACCAACATCCAATTCCAGCCATCAGAGAACTGTGCAGCTCTGCTGCCAGGGCCAGGCCGATGCTTTGATGACACAAGCTGTGTTTTGGGAGCGGTGCACGTGGTCCTCACTGCACCTGGGGAAGGAGGGAACGGCAACGCAGGCACACAGATTGCAGCACATGGATAATCTTTATTGGTAACATCAGTGGAGCACCAGTAATCCATTACTGACTGTAGTGGTGACACACAGCTGAGGCACATGCTAAGGCACTTTTATTATATATATATAAAAAAAAAAATTAAAATTTTCTTGTGACAGCAATTGGGACATGAGGCTCCTGCATTTAGAGCGCTTCAGGCATACAGTATGGCGCTTCATACTTAATTATTTTTACTTTGCTCATAAGTAGGTCTAAATGCAGCATATACAATATGGTTAAGAATACAGGTAAATCCAGCAACCAGTGTACGGTGTAGAAAAGTAAAGACTATCTCTATATAACCATGGTCCCAATAGAAAGGCAGTGATAAAGACCTTTATTTTTTAATCTTAATTACTTATTACGAGAGATACAAAGGCCTTACATATATCTGTGCAGATTAAAGGGTTTTTAATATACTCTTAGTCAATGGTGCACAATAACTAATCCCAACCCCTGGTTATAGAGCAGGTGCAAGAGGCTTGGACATGTCAATAAAAGAGGATTTCCCTCCCCTCATCCCCACCCTCTGCCCACTACCCTATTAAATTCCCCTAGATTCTATTACCATTAAATATATTTGGTCCCTAGAGATTCTCAGACAAGGACAAGGATATTGTTCTGCTTTCCCAGCCTGTCATTAACTACTGGTCCACACTACCTTAGATGAAACCGCTCAGAGGCAGAGACACTAACAGGACATCATTGCACTTCAGAGATCTGTCCAGACAGTAAAAATGAGGAGAAAGGATGGGAGGGAAGGAGAAAAAAAAAAAAAAAAGACAACTTTGGCAAGTCCTCCAGGTAGTCCCAGGAGGGGCTTCCCTCTTCACCCCTCCTTGGAATCGTGTGAAAGAAGAAAGGGTGAGTTACCATGGCCAAAGCACACCGTTTTTCCTGAAACTGCTCCCAAACCGTGTGGGTGGGCAGATTAAAAGAGGCAGAAGTCTGAGGTCACTGAACATGATTGCCGAAAGCAAACAAAGAAGGAGGGGAAAGAATACAGGAAGGAGCTTCCCTGCAGCTAGCATCTGAAGACAAAAAGGAGATTTACAGCAAAAATAATCTTTCCCTAACCCCACTCCCTCCAAATTGTGTAAGGATTCTTCAGCAGACGTGGCACAGACAGTCCTACATGACTTTGTAGATGCCAAACTGCCGTTCAGATTTTAGAGCCCCAACTCTTTGGCATTAAATACAAAGAGGATTAGGAAACTGGAAAGAGGAGGAAACGAGGAACACAGATGCCCGATGGCTCCAGATACACAGAGCTGGACTTGCTCTGCAGATCCCCAGCCAATTTAAGAGGAGAGGGTTTGCAGAGATTCCAATGGAAAAGGGGAGGGTGGATGGGTCATTCCATCATGTGTAACCTGGGCAAAATGAGAGGACTTATTCAGTAGCTTTGGCATCACCAGCTTCTGCCTTGCCGTCCACCTCCTCATCGGAGCACTCTCCTGTACCCTTCCTGACAAGCCGACGTGTGACGACAAAGGGCAGGTCCCCACGCCTAGGGAAGGACACACAGTATGTCAGTAACACAAGATTTACCGCGCTCACCAGACACGGCAGGCTTGGAAAAAAGGAAACAGGCTGCTGTGGGCAGCTACGGCAAGCCTATGCTGCGCCGGCTGCCAAGGTACTGCACAAAATGCTTTGCCATACCTGAGTTTGCTCTTGAGGGAGCTGACCTCTCTATTCATTGCATCAGCTGTTTCAGTGGCATCATCCAGTTCGCGTTGGAGCTTCCTGCGAGATGCGTTGGCTCTCTGGGCCTCTTCTTCTGCTTCCTCAAGCTGGCGTTTCAGCTGCTTCAAGCGCATGTTCGCCTTGTCCGCCTTAGAATGGGCAGGGATAGAGGTCAGTGTTCCCTCACTTACACAGTGGCAAAAAGAACAGTTTCCCAAGTCTCCCCTTCCTGAAAGAAGCTGGCTAGGACTTGACAGCTCAAGCTTTTCTTAATTTTCTCTTAAATACAGAGGATGCCCTGACCATAGAAGGGAAACCCTCCTACCAGCAGACTCCACAATGCTGTAGGTAACCACACACACCTGATCTTTGAATTGCTCAGCATTACGCCTCTCATCATCCACCTGCAGCAATATATCTTTCAGCTTCTTCTCGGCACGGCGCACTTGCTTGCTGGCAGCCTGGCGTTCCCTGCACAGAAATACAGCAACAGCTCAGACATGAATTTATCCCTCGTTGTCCCCAACCGGAAGAACTGACGTGGGTAAGTTGGAAACAAAGAGGACAGCAGAAGTCACACTAATTTTTGATTACCAAAATAAATAAATAAATAAATAAATAAATAAATAAATAAATAAATAAATAAATAAATAAATAAAATGGATGGGAAGCGATGTTTCCTAGAGATGATTAAAAGGTACCAAAAGGTATTGGTGCAACAGATATTTTTTCCTGAAGCTACAGAGGAACAGCAACAGCGCAATCACAGCTGCAGCTTTAGGACTGGTTAAGATTGGCTGAAGTTAAAAGTCTCTACAATGAGGGCAAGGAAGCACTACCCAGTACCTCTATGATGAGACCCTCATACTGGCAAGTCAGTATTTGCTCACAAAGGCTTAAAATTCCTGAGAGGGTGGGTGCTTGTAAAACAACCAGAGTTCTGGCCAGGACATACTTGGTCTCCATGTCCAACTGCTCTTCCAGCTGCACTATCTTCGCTTCCAAGGCCGTGATGGTAGCCTTGTACTTGGACTTCACTGCACTCTCCATCTCCTGCAGTTTAAGCTTAAGCTCCTTGTTCTGGCGCTCCATCTGCTGGCGAGCATTCTCATTCTTCTGTGCATTGCTGCGCTCAGCGTTCAGGTCGGCGTTCATCTGATCAATCTGTGGAGAGAAGCAGCACTGAGCATATCGGGTGTCCCAGCCTGAAGGGCTGATTTGTTTCTCAGACACATGCTGACATGCAAAGAAAAAGGACCCTCAGGGTGAGCTGAACACCTGGAATAGCTCTGCTACAGGAGGAGCGGTCTGTAGACAGAGATACAAACTACTTCTCAAAATTTCTTAGCTTATTCCAACTTTTTAAAGTAATTACTTGAAAAACAGGCTTATCAACCTCCTCTTAGTACTATGTTTGCCAATTGTGCCTCTCTTGGGTGAAGGAGCAGTCTGGCACTTAACACAATAATTACCAGGCCTAGTGAACTGCATCCATCCTGAAGTAAAGTGAATTCAATACATGTGCTTTACTGATCTATCGCTTACTTGCTGTCTGTCTGCTTCAGCTACAAAGAAGCAGCCTAAAACTACTGACTTTCAAAGATGAAAGGGCAAAAACTCAATCCACTTCCAATCCAGGGCTCTGGCTGATAGTCAAGTAGAGAGCTATGTTCTTTGGAGTAGAGCCACCACTTGGAAAACCATCAGCCTAGGTTCTTGGCTGTAGAGAGCTAACAGAACAGCATGCCTGACTCCTAAAGTCGGAAAGATAAAGCACAGCAGAGAACAGACAGATTAGGATCACTGTTTTTATAGCAGCCTAACAAATTCCATATGGATAGTCCATTTGAAGAAGCATAGAACTGGCAGGAAAGTCACTTTCCAAACACACTGTGGCACTGTTCAGCACGCCAAGACAGAAAAGCAGACTACAGATCATACTTCTCATAGATTCTCAATTTAAAAAAAGAAAAAAGGAAAAAAAGGACCGGAAATTCCTGATAAACTTTAGAGATGGTTCCAGCTACCAAAGCCATTTAATACTCCAGGATCAGAACCAGTGAGTTAACATGAGCTCCAACTGCCCACCACATTTTCTCTGTTGTGGCATTCAGGTGTTTCACTTTGCTCATGTCTTTCCAGGTCCCGTAACATCCACAGAGCAGCAGCTGACATTTTTCAGAGCACAGGCTGACAATTTACACAGGCTAGAGAGCCTCTGCTCATACATCCAGCCTGCATAAGTACCTGAAGATTTGCCTTCTTGAGCCTGTCATTGATAATCTCAGTGTTGCCCTGTTCCTCCTCCAGCTCCTCCTCCAATTGTGCTATCCGGGCCTCCAGGCGTCTCTTCTCCTCCATGGCCAGCGCTCTGTGGGACACACAAACATTCGCGTGACGTTGGCAACATTAATGCCCCGGGGGAAAACCTGCCACTTTTTATTTTATGAAATAAGCTCCATCTTCTGAAAGGACAGAGGATGCAGTACACACGGCAATCTACATAAAAATAACAGCCTGCAAAGTATTTTCTCCAACCAGCTCCTCCACCCTTGAGCAGGGAACATTACTCACCCTTTACCACTGCTGTTGGCAATCTCATCAGCCAGTTCATCCCTTTCTTGCTGGGCCTGGCGCTTGGCACGCTCAGCAGCTGCAAGTTCCTGGAATGAAAATGAGACGGTCACTGATGCAATGGGAAGTGATCAACTAATGCAGCATAGGAAAAAGAAGTTACTAGTAATGGGTGGTACAGCCTCTAGCTAGATCCAGACTGAATTATAAGACATGGTTTGTTTCCCTCCCACTTCACAACTTCCTTTGTTTTGCATCACTCCTATTGCAGCTGTCAAGAAAGGACTGAATTCAGCAATTAGAAAGAGACCTTGTATTTGAGCAGAGTGGGAAAAAAAAACAAAAGAAAGGAAAAGAACAACCGTTCAAGCTTAAACTGTCATGCTTGGTTCCTGGTCAAGAAAACAAACAAACCCTTGACTTGCATGCATATGCCATTACCTCCTGCAATTGGATCATCTCTGCCTCCATGCTCTTCAACTTCTTCTCATTTTCTTTGGCCTGAGCCAAAATCTCTTCTCTGGAGGTACGTGTGTCCTCCAGTTCCCGCATGTAATCCTTCATTTGTGCCTGAAAAAGGAGAATAAAAATGGATGGATTTCAGAGCATCTGCATGAACAAATGCTTACGTTTATCTTACAGGAAATACAGGGAGGGAAAGTGGAAATGGGGACTTTGTTAGTCTTCAGCTACCTAAAAGGCAGCTGTAAAAGAAAGAAATTATCTAGCTTCATTTCACGAGAAACAAGAAGTAGTAATGGAAGCAAACAGAGTTGCTTAAAATTGCAGGGGAAAACAATTCTTAGATATGGGGAGGGAGGAGTACAGGAAGCTTTCTAGTGAAGCAGTGGAATGGATGGCCTAAGGGAGGATTTGGCGTTTTTCCTAAGAACAGATCAGACACATGCCTGTAGGAATTAGAACGGTATGACAGAACTGTTTCAGGCAGGAGAAGGCCTACATCATCTTTTAAGTCTCTCTAGCTCTGCAACTCCATAATCCTTTACAGAAACACTGATATGAGGCAAGCACTCGAGCAGACTTTCCCAGCAGCTTGTCTCTGAGGGAATTAAACACGCAGAAGGGGGTTAGAAGGATATTTGAAATGCCAATAAATCTTTCCTGGTAAACTGCTACCAAGTTGCTGCTCTTGTGACACTGATGCATGGTTCTCATGAGGTGAAATCTTGTATCTCATTTCCCTGGGTAAATAAGCTTTACACTGACAACTAAAACAATTGCAGTTCCTCACCTGCAGTTTGCGGAGCTGCTTGATGGCTTCATCACGATTTTTGTTAGCAGTGTCTATATGGCTTTCCAGATCCTTCAGGTCCAGCTCTAGTTTCTTCCTGGCAGCCACAGCAATGGAACGTTGTTTTCGTTCATCTTCCAATTCCACCTCCATCTCCCGCACCTGTACAGAGAAATTTAGGCATCAGTGGAAATCAGCTCCTTGATTTCCCCAAAGCTGCTTTTCATATCCAGCTGACAAATTGCACTCAAGTGCAAGTACGTGACTTGTTCTAATCCCTCCTGACAGAGGGATGAGGGCTAACATTCCTTACTAATAAAGCAACACAGGATCTTCAGATAGGCAAAGGCTGTTTGAAAAATCATGCCTTTGCAGCACTGACTGGAGAGTTATCATTAACAATGATGTGTGGATTGGCACTGTCTTAGCCATCTTTGGACATAAGTGCCTTTGCAGAACACTTTCAGGATTTACAGAGCAATTCTTACTTGTCTAATCAGCTGTTTCCTCTTTTCTTCATTCTGTTCATCACGTCCCAGGAGGTCTCGGTCAAACTGTGCTTTCATGGCCTGTTGGTTCACTTCTAGCCGCAGTTTGGCATCCTCTGTGGCCTGCAGTTCATCCTCCAGCTCTTCCAGCTGTGTCTTCATCTCCTCCACCTGTTGCTCCAGGGCTCGCTTAGCCTTCTCCAGCTCATGGACCTACAGCACAGTACCACATACAGGGTTTCCTCAAAAAGGACACTTTCACCAATCCTAAGAACAAAATAGCCTGAGAAGAGCCACTCAAGACAAGACTCAAGGACACTGTATTTGTTCCTTATATTAATGCAGGGATACTCCTCCGATGCAGCTGCTCACAGAGCTGCAAGCTGCCACATGGATTATGATTACTGAGGTTGGAAGAGACTTCCAAGACCATCAAGTCCAACTATCCACCTACCACCAATATCTCTCCACTAACCCATGTCCCTTAGCAACACATCTCAATGTTTCTCAAACACCTCTAGGGACATGACTCCGCCACCTCACAGGGCAGCCCATTCCAGTGCCTGACCACTCTTTCTGAGAATTAATTTTTCCTGATAACCAACCTGAAGCTCCCTTGGTGAAACTTGAGTCCATTCCCTCTAGTCCTATCACTAGATTGACCTTCACTTTGCCACAGCCTCTAATTCATCTCACATCGCACCTTCTCCATCACAATACAAGTCTCAGTTCACCATCACATCATCTGGGTCATTTCCAGGCTCTTCCCACTCAACTTTCCTGCTCACTAATGTAATACAAATGTAACATTCACAAATCCTCAAAGCGTTCAGTTCTCTCTACTACAATTCTCCATGTTCACACTAGCATAAGTATTTTGCAGCATTAAATTAACAATATTGTCTTTGTGACATTTCCTGTGCAGATACTGTAGCCCCATACTTACGCTTTTTCCAACATCATCCTTTGAACTCATCAGGTCTTCCATCTCTGTGCGGAACTGCTTATTGACTCGTTCCAGCTCAGCTTTCTGTTCTATGGCTTCTTCAAGGGCTCTGGCCAGGGAAAGGGCCTTTGTCTCCTTCTCACGGGCTTCAGCTTCAGCACGGTCCCTCTCTTCCGCGTATTTGGCAGAGATGTTCTTCTCCTCTGCCAAGAGCTACAAGAGCACAGAATTTTGAGAAATCACTAAACCATTTTTAACAAGGTAAACACGCACCTTTTCTGTTACTGCCTTCTAAGTAGCATTCTGCCATGGACAGAATCAAGAAAAACTGTCTTCAGAAAATGCATACCATCCCATCTTCAATAATATGCTGACCCCATGGTAAATAAACCTGATTCCCTAGGCATCCAACATATCAGCCCCTCAAAACTGCAGCCAACATTTACAACTTGATGCTGTTGTCAATATAAATGTTAGTCCTTTGGGAAAAGGCACATCACTAAACTTCTTGTGCATGAAACAAAACAAGTTTCTCTCTATGACAGCCTCCCTCTCCACTTTATATGCTATACCTCAGTTCAGAAATAAACATACATTCTCCAAACAGCACTGTTTAGATATTCTTGGAGGCAAATCTGCCAAGTCAGATGCACCTACACTGAATGCATTGAGACCGAAGTCATACCTGATCAAACTTCTTCTGCTTCTTCTCTAGGTTAGAAACTGTCTGGCGCTGATGATCCAGGTCCACAGCGATGTCATCCAGCTCTTGCTGCAGGCGGGTCTTTGTTTTTTCCAGCTTGTCATATGCAGCTATCTTTTCCTCATAACGCTGGGTTAAGCTCTCCAAGTCCTTTTGCAGCTTCTTCTTGGCCTCTTCTGCTATCTCAAGGCAGCCCAGACCATCATCCATCTTCTTCCTGGCTTCTACTGCCTGAAGGACAGAAAAGTCTGCACGTGAACCTCACCACACATAGCACAACACTGTATGTGGTTTAATAGCACCAGATGAACTGAGGAAATAAGTCTGTTGAGTTCTGAAGGAATCATCTACAACCATTAACACTGTATCAATGATTCCAAAGGAATTTCTGGGTAGAAATCTACAGTTTGTATGATCATTATCAGACACTCACTCAAATAAGCAGGATCACCCTTGTCCATCAAAGGTTCTCTCATTAGATGCCCACTCCGCATTTACATTTTACATCCTTCAAGTCAGACTTGCATTTACACTTCCTCTCCTCTCAAGTGTTTGGTCTACGGAAGGTAGACTGTACCTGTTGCTGAAGAACAGAGATCTGCTTCTCTAGGTTTCTCTTTGCCTCCTCTTCTTCTTCCAGTTGCTCTTTCAAAGCATTCTTTTCATCCTCTGTTTGCTTCAGTTTGGTGCTGAAGCTCAGCTTTAGGCGAGTCTCCTCCTGCAGCAGCTCCTACAATACAAGTACCAAGATGAACTCAGCACATCTCCTTGGATTTAAAGGCTCACCATCCTCAGTCATTCTCTCCAGCAGGAATATTTTTGAAGTTTAGTTTAATTATGCTTGTCATTTCACAGATCAAACAATTGAACATAAAATTTAAGTAACTGTCTTCTAGTGAGTCAGTATAGGAACAAAATACTGACAAAGATCCTATTCTCTGTACACTCTCATGATTAAAGTAAACTTTTTTTGCCACACAAGTACTGTCTTCCTGCACAGCTACCCACAGTCCTTTCTGGAGTCCTCTGAGTAGCACATACAGCATTAAAAAGCATGTGGCCATACTCTGCTACACAACTTTCTCATACTCAAGTATCACAGAAATGGACAACAGGATTAAGTGACTTAGCATGGTTAAGAACAACTTTACTCTTAGCAGAATTCAAAGACAGCAGTCATTTACCAAATTGGGGCACCAACAACATTTACTAACTTCTGCTGCCAGTACTTAAGCTGAATGACTTGTAGAAACCAATCTTCAAACTAGTGTGTAACTTTTGAATTGTGCATTATCCTTGAGACTGTTTTTAAAAGATTCCTAAGTAGATAGAATGTCAGTGTCCATTCAAAATTACTTAATATCTAACTTCTAATTCTAAGACATGGAAAATTACGTATGTTCCATATACTGAAGCAGCAGAAGGAAGATAAAGTGCTTGTTTCATAGAAATGCTCTCAATACCATGCAGCACAGCCCGTTAACAAAGCAGCCAGAGTCAACCCTTTGAAGTGTTGTATAGTCAGTTCTTAACAGCAGTGCAGATTGCTTTCTCACTTTATTTGAGATAATTTGTGACAGTGGATGTAAGATATACAGATGATACGGATGCCTTGGCTTCCAAAGCTCTCACCTGAGTATCCTGAAGCTGTGACTCCAGAGCAGAGAAGTCCTTTGCTAATTTGATTGATTTGCTGTCAGATTGGTTCAAAAGGCCTGTGACATTGTCCAGCTCAACCTGAAGGAGATATGAGAGTATCATTTATTAAGTGCATCAGCAAGAACAAAGCCATGAACAGCTGCAAGACCTGAAAGTGAAAAACAAGGCACTTCTCAAAAGTAAGGCATGTGTATCATCTCTTGGGAGAAGAAACGTGTTATTTCTAAATACCTAGGGATGAAATATGAAGAATCCAAAAGAGGCTCTATTGCAACATTCTTCTGTCTTTTAATGTCTTTATCACATATGATTTGCTTCAGGACAGCATGTAGATACTCCAAGTCACATTTTCAGACTCCAGAAGAGTATGCATACACCAGCAATGCTAAATCTAATGAAAGTCCACCAAAAAAGACTATGCTTGGTGTGAACCAAAGATATTTCTTGTTTATCTTGAAGAGAGTTGGAGAAAATCCTGAATTTCAGCATCTCCCTTTAGCCACTCCTTTTCACCATCAACCACATTCAAACTATCAAGATACATTCTTCCAAATCACCAGACTGTGCCACTCTAAGCTCACAAGTAGCTTAAAGGTTACAGAACAGTACACTACAAACTGCTGCACACTGAAGGGAAGCATCTTTTTGGGGCTGCTCATTAATGACAGCAGTCCTAATGGCCTGAACTGACAACGAGTTAAGGAGTTTGCTGAGTCTTGGGAAGCAAACTATGTCTGTGTTTTTTTGTAGGAACTTTATCCCCTGGAGGAACAAGAGATTTTCAATTTAACCATAGGGAGGTACCACCCTATAACCTTCTTTTCTCTCTATTCCTTGGCTACCACAGAAGCTAAGGAAAACCCATGCCACTCACCTGCAACTTGTTCACCCTCTCAGCCAATTCTGTCTTCACTCTTTCACCTTCTGTAAATTTCACCTGCAGTTCCTGGAGCTGAGCATCTACTTTTTTCCTCTTGTGCTCTGCATCCCCTTTGCCTTGCAGAAGTACCTTTACTTCATTGGACAGTTCAGCCCTTTCACTTTCCAGAGCTTGTTTTGCTTTTTCAAGATTTGCTTTCACCTGGAGGGGAGAAAAAAAATAGCAAAATACCTCAGACAGAAGATACAGCAGAATACATCCAGTGAGTGATTATGCTTTTTTTTCCTCCAGATTATTCCAACAAACTGATGTTGCATGTTTAACAGCTAAGTCTTAGACTGCTTACTCAGAAAAAAACCCATGTGAACGCCTGATAAGCAGGAGACAATTAAACAATCAGAGCAGACAACAATAAAGGACATAGTCTTGCACCATCAGATTTCCAAATTAAAGGTTGTACAGCTCAGCAAATGCTAGCAATGAAAAGAACTAAACAATATTTTGGCTATTCAGTATATGGTACCTGATGGGAATAAATGAATGAAGGCAACTATTTAAAACAACTGTAATACGCTTCATAGTGCAAAATGATCTACCAAGGAATGAAGAGTATGTGAATCAGAAAACCTAGTGTCATGTATTAAAACATTGCCATAGAGCAGCTATCACTTCAATCACTTCAAGAGAGGCTGACTGCTTTGGTCTTGCACTCCCTGTTCCACATACCCGTTTGGTTTGCTCTAACTGCTCTGCCAGTTCTTCAATGGCTTGTGAATGTTTCTGCCTCATCTCTTGGATCTGAGCCTCATGTGTCTTCGCCTCATCCTCAAGGGTCTTCTTCAAAACCGTTACTTCTTGTTCTCTCTTTGACCTGCAAAATTCACAGCTTTTATTTAGATGCCAAGGAGAGAATCAAACGGATATGCATATCCACAAACAGCATCTCTAATGCAGAAAAACACCAAGGTTTGGTTAGCCCTACATGCTACAAATACACTTTTCAAAGTTAACACTTATCTTTGAACCCTTCTTAAGTACAAGCTCACAACATTGTTTTCAGCTAAAAATCAAATTCAAAAGCATGAATGTTTTGGGTATCACCACTACTAAGGTTACAGAACAAACTAACTTTCTTACATCAGATAAGGGAATGCAATTTTGACTACAGCTTGCATGCTGCCTCCTTTTGTAGCCATCAGAGACTGCTAACCAGCATGCTCTGATGAAGACTTGCATTTATTTTAACAAAGAAGTCAAAAACAAAACCAGACTATACAACACAGCTACATGTTGGAGTTACCTGAGCTCCTGCTGAGCAGCTGTAGAATCTAAAGTGTCTTCTAGCTCTGTTTTCAATGCTTCCAGCTCTTCTCCCAGGTCTCGTTTCTGTTTTTCGGCTTTGTTCCTGGAAGCTCTCTCTGACTCCAGGTCTTCCTGCAGCTCAGTGATCTGAGACTCAAGTTCCCTGATCTTCTTCAGGGCCATGTTCTTCTGAGCGGCCTCTTCTTCCACCCTGTGTTTAACATAGAGTTCTGGTCAGAGCCAGATTTAAAGCATACAGAAATGAAAACCTCCTGTCCTACAAGAATAATCCAGAAAAAAAGCTGGTATAGATCGGTTCTACGTGATTACTTTCAAATTTTGATCCATAGATCACCTACAAAATTCTAAGTTCTAACTCTCAATACTTCAGAGAGCACAATTACTTACCTTAAAGAAGGGGACAGAGAAAGACTGACAACAGAAGCAGAACAGAAGCAGAAGAAAAAGCACCATTTTACAATGGAAGTCGGACACTTCACTGAATAGACAAATATAGCAACTACCACAGAGAGACAGTGCCCTGCCACTATTTTTTAATCCCCTTTGAAATCCTACAGCAAAACTTGTGCAGTGCATGTTGCAGTGATAGCCTAAGTCTGTACAGAGAATGTGGCAGTGAGTAACAGCCAAAGAACTCTGATGCCTTAGGATATGAATCATAACAGTTCACAGACTGAAATACATAGATTCCAAAGTGACACAAGACTAGAAGAAATACTTCCTAACGTGGCAGTACCATAGGTCAGATTCTCACCTAGCTAAGGCTGCCTGCAGCTCCTCTTCCTTCTTGGACAGCTGTAATTTGAGTTCTGCAATCTGAGCCTGCAGCTCAGCAATCTGGTCATGCAGATCACTGGAGTCTCCTTCAAGCTTTCGACGAGTCTTTTCCAATTCTTGCCTCTGCTTTTCTTCACGTCGAAGACGTTCTAATGGAGATAAGGACAAAGTAAGTTGCACAATGATATAAAGTCATTCAAAGAACATTGTGCACGGAGAGAAGATAAAGCTATTCAGGCAATAATATCTTTCCTGGTAATACAACTGTAAAAACTAGCTGGAGTGCATCATTATGTCAGGATAATGCAGATGGCTCGCATGTTTTGCACTTAAAAGATACATGTGCAATTTTCCTTTCCCTCATTTTCCATTCAAACCTCCTTCCCCACTTCATTGTAAAAAACAATAAACAACAAGCACAATGCTAGTCTCTCCCAGCATCCACACCACACGGCACTCATTAAGTGATGCTGAACACAAGGACTGCTCTCCTTTTACCGCAGTTAAATAGGCTATCTCCTGCTGTGTTGACCTGGTTAGCCCCATGATAAAGTGCATCTAGCTTGAACTCTGAAGAACTTGCACAAACAGAGCATCAAAACCCACACTAACCCTGACAAACTGATGCTGCCGGAAGTAGAAAGGTGGAGACCCTTCCACAGTAGGAGAGGAAAGAGAACCAGCTTCTCTTCTCCATTGGCCTGCTGCTTTGGAGAGAACTTTTATTTAGATCACGGGCTCAGCTGACAAGGCACATAACCTTCACCCAGCCACTGAACAGCTCTTTCAAACCAATCAATAGCATACACACTATAGACTGATTTTAACCCCTCAAAAACCAGATTGAGACTCAAGCTTTAGAAATGAAATTGAAATTCCACAGCTTTAAACAAGAATCCACCCAAAATTGAACAAACAATTCATCTGCAGGATCTGCTTTTTAAAATATACAAAAAAATGTCACCTTCCAGGTCTGTGATCATGGCCTCATGCTTGTTCTTGAGTTTGGCTAAGCTCTTTGATTTCTCCTCTTCCTCTGTTAGGTTTGTTGTAAATTCAGACATTCTGTCTTCCAAAAGTTTCTTTTCCTGCAGAATTGAGAAGTTATTGTCAAGGCAGCTGTTGGAATTACAGGAAAATTTTCAGAGTTGACTGTGCTTAAAGATGTCCATGTCATTAGTGCCTACTACTGCAACAAGGAGATGTGGAAGGAAACAAACCCATTCAGGATTGCAGATAATACTCCAATAAACAGTGGGTTACAGATTTGTATCTGACAACCCTTTCAAAGCCGAAAGGGAAGCCTGTTTGTGAAGTAACTTGATACTATCTGGCACAACAAAGTACCAGAAAAGATTTGCTTACCTATTGTTAGTTGGTCAAGGCTAACTTGACTAACTGTATTTAAATATACAACACTGATCTGTAAAAAAATACAGACAGGCACCTAATATCATAAATAAATTCAGGTTAGAGCTGCTTATCACCAGATTGAATTAATTCATAAATTTCCCATAAAAAGGGAACTAGTAGCTCCAAGAGAGTCACTGGAAAATCTTTAGATTGCAGAGAAAACTGCAGGAGTCTTACTTTGGCCAATTTGAGATTCTGATCTTCCAGAACTATCACATCTTCTTCTAATTTCTTCAATTTGGCCTCTGTGGTCACTTTTTCCAGCTGCAACTTCTGCCTTGCACTTTCCTCTTCTTCAAGCTGCTCCTCTAGTTCCTTCACAACACAAACACAAAAGCAAGGAACTTGTCAGTGCTGCTTACTGGACAATCTAACCATCACAATACCCAAGTTCTAATTTTCAACTTTTTTTTTTTTTTTTTTTACCCCTACTACAAGGTAATATTAGCACTTTCCAGAATCGACTTCTCTGTCTTGACTTGATGCAACATACTGCACTTCAGTAAATCAAATTTATAGCAGAAGAAAACAATACTGTTTTGCAAAGAATACTACTGTTCCCAAAACACCTGGTTCAAGCAAAAACTTTTCCAGTTATTTCACAAGTAGCTATAACCTCCACCTTCAAGAATGGAATAACACATTCCAGATGACTGTTTCAATGCCTGAGGCATCAGAATTGTTCCGTCCCATTATTTCCATGCATAGATTTTTCAATTGCATTTCTTTTATTGTTATTCTCACTCCTCTGATTCCCTCCAAAATATAAGACAAAACAAACCACTCTGATTCTTATTATCCTGTTTACTGATACCAGAGATGGCATTCCTAATGCATTACCTGAATGTTCTGCTGCATTTTCTTCTTTTCAGCCTGCAGATGCTGACACCGTTCCTCTTCTTCCTCCACCCTTGCTTCCAAGTCATGACATATTTCCTCCAGTTCTTGCTTCTTGGCTGTCAGGCGGGCTCTTATCTCCTCAGCTTCAGCACAGAGTTCAGCTTCTGCTTGCAACTGTTCTTGCAGCTGCATCTTCTCTGCCATTAGCTTCATAGTACACAAAGCAGAAACAACAGTAAGACAAACTCCAATTTACCAAAGCACTAAGTAATTTATATTAACTGAAGGTATATATTCCAATGTTCCACAGTTGTAGTGTAACAACTTCAGCTGTCTCCTGCTATGAGTTAAAGATTAAATGTCAAAATGCAGTTTTTAAGTGTTTGATTCCCTTCGCAAACCATTCACATTAGCCCTAACAAATTTCTAGAGACCATGACCATTTGAAATAAGGAGATTGTTTAATTTTCCCCTACAAAAGTAATGTTAGTAGGTATCATCCCTGCAGGAAAACAAGCCTGCTGCCACCTTCTGTGTTCCAAACAAAAATAATTCCATTTACGATGAGGCTGAATTCAACCAGCTTGCTATAATACTCAGCCAAAAGAGACTTTACACATAATGGCTGTAACAAGGAAATCATTATGAACTGAGCTGGGGAGAAGGGCAAGCAAAACCAAACAAGGTAGAGCAAAGTCACATATTTCAGCCAGCAGGAATACTGCAGCTTATGCATCAGACCACTAACAAAGGAGCAGCTCTTAAGGCAGTGGACAGAATGAGTTTTACACACAACTCACCTGGGCCTGGAATGTCTCCATCTCACTCAGTCTATTTTCTGCAGCTAACTGCTTCTCCTTAACCTTTATTAGTTCTTCTTCCTTGGCCATCATCTCTTCTTCCTGTCTGCTTACTTGCAATAGGGGCTTCACCTAAAAAGGAAAGCAAGGGAATGGGATGTATTTAATAAACGTTAAGAACATGACAAAATGCTCTTGTACATGATGAGCATCCAATAAAACAACATTTTTTGTAAGTATCATATATGAAGGACTGACCCATTACTTTGTTACGAACCATGGGAGAACTACAGAGGACTAGACACAATCTGTTTTGCCACTAACCCTCTGCTTGCCTGACTAACCAATGTTTCCTCCAGGATGGGATAATTCAGGAAAATAATGGGTAAAAAGTTCAAGAGTCTCAAGGGGTAAGCAGTAATAACAGTAAAACAGATTTGCCATCCAGTGGGGCAAATTACAGTGCATGGGCAGTCAATGTACACAAACCAACACCACCACTCATCTCTGTGCTTCCCCACCAAACCCTTAGAAGTCTTCATAGGAAGAAGAAAACTACTTTCAACTCTGATTTCGCTGCACAGTCTCCACAGTTGAAGAGCAAAAAATCCCGTGAGTTCAGGAAAAAGATTATTTCTTCATGTGCTCATTGTCTTTATAAAGATAAAATATGTATAAGTCTAACAGTAGAATCAGATTCCAGTGTTTTCATTTTGCTTTCACAATTCTGGAGAAAGAGGTGACAAACCTCTCTCTGTGTTAGCAATTTTTGTCTAGCTAAATTGACTGGCCATGTAGTTAGGTGAGTTTTTGAAGTGACATGCTACCAAAGCAAGCAATCCTCTTCTACGCATAAAATATTAAATGATGACTTCTGCTTTTCCACATTACTTGCACATAGCCTTGCACTTTTTTTTTTCTGCAGGAATACTGCATAGATATAAAATATGTTACAATGTTCTCCATCAAAATGAATCAAGGTGCAGTTATAAGCAAGCTCAACTGAAAAGGAAGTGGTTTTTTGTTGTCGTTTTGTTATTTTTTTTGCTGTGGTTCAACTTGAGAAGCTTAAATCACAACTACAAACTCTTGCCAAAACTTTTATAAATGGAAAAAAATATTACCTTGGTGAACAACCTCCACCACTGCCAGTTCCGCAGTTTCAAGTAGGCAGCACAGTTCCTCTGGAGCACCTTCATGGCTGTCAGCTGCTGTTGGCGCTTGGCAAAAGCTCTACAAAGTAAATGGAGATCAGATAACAAAGAAACCCACAGTGGGACACTAATCGCTTAACCAAGACCACTCTTGGATAATTTTTTTTTTTTTTAATATTATATTTTATTTTTAAAATATTATTATATTTTTAGAAGGTTCCCTCCTCAAAAAAAAAAAAAAAAAAAAAGGCAGAACAAAATTTGCAGTGAAATTCCACCAGCTTTTTAAAGCCTTTTTCTGCTCAGGTAATACTGGTTATCTTTTCCTTTACTCAATTTCCTCTGTATTGAAAAAAGTTTTTCCCTATCACCTTCTAATCTTAGAAGCCTCATTCTCACTTCCCACAAGGAGATATAAAACAAGTGTTTTGTACTTGACAGATACTACTCTTGTTTTTAGATATATACCATTTGCAGTCCCACCTAACAGTTTCAGAGAAATCCCTGTGCTAAGACCTTTGAAATATCACATTTGTAACTTGCAGTACTTTCACAAAAAAAGAAAACAACAAAAAACCCAAACTTAAAAGTTGCCTGCTATATTGCTGTATAGTGTTCCTATGGAAGGAAATAGTAATTACTGCTCTGTATGTAGGACAGCAGCATATATATTTTCTTGCACGTGCAAGAACTCAAGTATTACAGAGATTGAACAACTCTAAAACAATTATCAACATAATTGTATACAATGAACAAATCATGGTCTTTCAGACAAAAAATAATTTGTAATCAGCTTTTTTTTTTTTTGGAAGAGAAACTTGCACCTGAAGAAGAGAAACACATATGTTTATAATGTACTTTATAAAATCTGATCCTTACTTTCTGGCCAGGTAGCCTCTGCAGCATGCTTGGAAGCCTATAATGACATCTGTGATTTTCAGATCTCTCTCTTCTTCAAGATGAGCAAGGACTCCAGCTCTGAAGAACACTTTACTCTGTCCAATTCGGTAAAGGTTAGAATCCAGCTCCAATGCTTTGATCTAAAATGAGAGAAAGAGAAGAATACATTTATTGCAAAGATTGCTTCATGTCACATTGCAGAATATATGTCTTTCACAGCTATAAGATCCCCTTTTCTCCCACAATAACCCAGTCAGGTCAGCCAACACTGCTAACTCCTGCAAAATCCCTGAATCAATTAGAAGATTTGGAGCTCAGCCAAGCATGGCATGAGACAGAGGCAATATAAGACAGAAAACATGTTAGAAAGCCATTATTTAATATAACACTACCTCTAGCACCCAAAGCTACAAGGATGATGCAAGGAATATATTTTTCTTTCTAAAAGTCCTCTTCCTTTCCTAAGAAGAATACATCTGTTGATTCTTCATATTTAATTTTTTCCAATACTAATCTGAAAGGCACCCCAACCAACTTTCCCTTCCTTTAAAGGATTTGTGGTCAATACTTACACCAGTTCAGAGGAAGAAACTATATTCCTCTGAGACAAAATAAACAGGAATCTCTTAAATTCAGTTCAGTGTCCCCTAGTCATCAAGCTACAAAGCCAAAACTTTCCCTCTGAAGCAGGCATCTTTGCATAAATTAGAGTTTTCATTGGAAGTGTTTGCCATCAGCAGGCATTTACAAAATGTTTGTTGGACCTTGTACTTCAAGTACATAACTAAAGATAACAATGCTTCTTAACATTTTGATTCAGTGAATACTGTTGGCATCTAAAAGTGCACACATCTGTTGAAACAGAAGGACCCTCTTTGCCCATGATTATTGAACCTCATGTTAGTCAAGAGCCTCCAACAGTGAAGGCAAGACAGTTTTCTGCACCCTCCTCCTCTCAGACAAAACGTTTGTCTTTTGAATTTCTGTCTGTGCGTAGAAGATATACTTAATATGCTTACAGAATGCACAACTCCAGTTTCCTCACCACATCCATAATGTTTATTCTATTCAAAGAGAGTTCATGGAATGTCTTACCATCAGCACACAGGCTTGTTTTCCATCCATAAATCCCTTGGGAATTGCATTTGGAGTTAAGATTTCATATCTGAAGAGCAGAATGCATTGCATTAATTACATAGTTACATATGAAAACAAAGAATGCTAGTTCCTATTACATTTTGACTTCAATAGCTTATGGTTTTCTTAGAAGAAAAAACTGCACCTGTAGACAAAAGAACATGAAGCAGCAGTCTTGCATAGGGCCCTCTACTCCTTACTGTAACTCCATGCTTAGTAGAGAAAAAGACAAAGGTACTTCTGGGAGGCTTTGTGCAGGGGAATAGCAAGGGATGGTGCTGCTGCTTTTCAAAACAGCATTGTAACAAAATAGTTCAGTTTTCACACTTATATCTTTGTCAGGGTAGAGACTAATTCAGATTATTTTCTGGTCTTTACCTTTGTCTGAATTCCTGGAATACAACTCTGTTGGGGAAACCTTGACGACAAATACGGATTCCCTCCAGCACTCCGTTGCAGCGAAGTTGATCAAGGACCAAGTGGGGGTCAAGCTTTCCAGCCTGATAAGGAAAAAAAACATTTGCTTAATATCATTAAGCTTGTACAAAAGAGGCTTAACACCTCGCCTCCTCCCCTATTTTGTAAAGCAGTTGGTTCTCTTTTTTTTCTTGTTATGAGAAATTGAAAGCTTTTTTGCCACCTTAGAAATAACTGCAAAGATCAGTCTCCCGAATTCTGGAAAGAGTACCCAAATTTAAGATAACTATAAAGAGAGACCTTGAATAAACAGGACCACTACAAGATCTGTTGCAAAAACTGGGAAAATATAACAACCCAGTCATACCCTGTCAAGGAAGTCCACCTATGACTGCATGGGCAGTAGTTACAACCTCCTTTACCTTTTTCTCGTGGTTGGGGATAATGCAACGGACGAAGTTGGGGTTGGTGTTTCTCAGGGTGGCCATCAGTTTAGCCAGTTGTTCTTTGTAAAGTTGTCCCACTGTTCGGAACATACCCTTCCTGGTTTTAAAGGCTCCTGGCAACGCTGTTTCTGACATGCCAGCTACCTGATCCAGCCCAACAATACGATCAACTAGAGAAAGCACAAGAAAGGGTATTAAAATTCAGCCACAACCAAAGGAATACTGGTCTGTACAAAGAACATCTGGGTAGAACAGGATAAATGAGAGGAGCTGCAGGATCCTTTTTGCTTCATCTCTACACAGATGTCGACTCCTGTACAGAATTTGTGCAGGGATAGGAGCAGGAAGGAAAAAAAAGCAACAGCTCACTACAGGAAGTTTGAGTGATGGAATCAAACTTACTCCCAGACATAGCCTACTGATGCTCTGGAGGGCAGATCTGGAAGAGCAATCTAGAAGTGTGTTTCAGATGCTTCCACTTGCTTAGGTTAATGAAAAACAACAAACCAAGAGTTCTAGCTGCTAACCCACCAGAGTCAACTATTTGTTAACTCTGACTCAGAAGGGTCTGCAGTTAGAGAAAAAGCCCAGCTTGACTCTTCAGCCACAAGCAGAATTGCCATGTTTGGTGATCAGAAAAGCCATATCTATTTGTTAACTGAACAAACATGGTTAAAGGCATGATAGACACCAAATCCCAGGATACCACTGCTTGAGTTATTTTGGAGTACAAGTATTCTATGACTTATAGACATAAACAATACCACTAGGAGACAGCCAGAACTCCCTGCCCCAACAGCTTCTCCACTATGCCACAATGACATCCAAGTACTAACGAAGCCATCATTTTAATGGGTGAATTCCAAGATTGTTTTTTCAATAGAAGCCAGTTAGATCTGAGAGTAGCATCAGTCAAAAGAAATTAAAGCATTCCTTCTTCCCATTGTTCTATCATGTAGAGATAAATATTCACACTCACAACCACTATAAATCCCCACACCCTAAGGTACTTTTTCTCAAGGGCTTCAATCTACTATCTCACTACTATCCTCAGTGATTGCTTGATGCCTATACTCAGGCTCCCTGTCTTAACTTCTGAAAATATATAACTTACGCTCAACTGACTTGATTAAAAAAACCTGTCAAGAGAAATCCCCACAAATGAAGAAAAAAGAAAGGACAGACACTCTCAGTTACAGTTAATGTTAGTTTATAACTGCTCACTTCTAGAGCAGCCATTAGAATAGGGTGAAAGCTGTCTTATCAGAAGAAAAGGAGGTTATGTTACTAGATGACACCATAGGGAAATCCACAGAAAAGTGTCCCAGATTCTGTTTGGAACAATCCTCTTAAAAACTTGAGCCCTGCAATCTACATCAAGATGGCAAAAAAGGACAGTCGCTTGCAACAGAAGCTCAAGAGAACAATAGATAAGATCTGATCAGCTGTGATTCAGTCAGTATTCTAACTCCAAAAGGCATGTGTCAGCCTCACACAGCAAAGGCCTTACTGGGTACTATTTGCTGATACATATTTTTCACATAGTACCAATTTTTTTCCCAAACTAACTTCCCTTTTTGTGATCTGCAGCTGAAATCAGCATTAAACTGAATTTCAGTTTTAACACAGTCTTAGAAATCTTTCTTCCAAGTTTTGGAATGAAATATAGCCTTACTAGTTCTATATTCAAACATTTGACAGGGATTTGCTTTTAGTTGTTCCTATGAAAGTCTTGCAATAGCACCTTCAGCACCTGAATGTGTCCATATTTGTCTTGTATCCACTCACAAGGATTTTTTATTTTATTTTATTTTTTTTAAGTCCGTGAGGAGCTACTAGCACAAAGCAAAGGAAATGAACAATAGAGACAAGCAGGTATGACAAAGGGACAAAGAGAAGTTAATGGAAGCATTTCTTGCATGGCTCTAGGATGCATTACACACATGACACAACAGCTGGATTTCTCAGTCACCTGGTTCTAGATGAAGAATAGGAAAGTGTTGATAGAAATAGGCTCTCTGAACGTTCTGCATCTCTGCAACAGACAGAGACGTCAAAGAAAACCCATGACAGAAAGTGACAGCAACAGTAAGACTCAAAAGCAGATAAACTCAGAGGAGATAGAGTAAAATACTGAACAACACTGCGGAAAAAACACGCTAGTTGCAGGATGGAAAACCTAGATTCAGCCTCAGATCTTGCATATGAGCAGCTAAGCAAGCTGCTAGGATGCATTGGTGTGTTCATATTTTAATCTGGCATTCTCAACTTAGAATAATAATTGCAGTATATGCAGCAAGCTTAATGTAAGTCAATGCACATGAGCCTCTCTTTTGTGTTACAGCAAATTTTAAATGCAATACCAGGGTCTAAGTAAAGGAAGTATTGAATAATATTCATCTTGGCAGTTTAGTCCCAGGGAAAAAAAGTAACACAGGTCATAACAGATTTTTGATGAACCAACAAATTTTTCCGTGTAAAACAGGAAGAGAAAATATATGAGATTAAATTTAACTACATACCATCTTTCCACAACTCAGACACAAACTTATCCGACGACTGATGAAGAAGAGTAGCAATGTTATCATTCAGTGGATCCATGTTCTTCATCAGCCACTCATCTGCTTTATAATCCACCTGGAGAAGAAAAACACGTCAAGAAACTCCAGAGCATTTCCTGCAGCACAAGATCCAGCAAGATTCTGCAAAGTCTAGAAAAACAGCACCAAGGATTGCATAATCAACAACAGGCAACCTAATTGTTCTTGAATGTGTCATCTAAGCAAGCATACCTACAAACACCAAACCCTAAAAAAATGCTGAATATTCTGTTCTATCAGGAAAGGGAATGGATTTGCAATGCTAGTATGCACCACCCTGAGTGTGAAGCAAAAAATTGCTGACCACCATAATCGGTGATGAAATCTTGATGCAAGGTTTCTGAAAAGTATCTCCAATCCCATTAAATCACAGAGAACAAATTTAAGTTGTTGTCAATTTGACATGTCCTCAACTATACATAGATAATTTGCAGGTAAATCTCTTTTATGGAAATCTCCAGCCCTGAAATGTCCACAGCAGTGAAATGGCTTTGTGAAGTCTCCCACCAATTTCCTATGTCTTCCAATACACAGTCACTCTGGTAAGTAGCTACTTCTAAAAAACAGTAGTTGAGCAGTGGAAAATAAGGCAGACATTCTTCAAATGCAGTTTAGCTTTTAATTCTTTACCTTGCCAGCATAATGTATGATACAGAAGTCAGCTTTGTCTTTCAGCTGTTTTGGCTTCTGAAATTTGGGGTGGGTGCCTTGTTCTTGTACAACTTTTTCCACAAAGCTTTTGTCTGTTGCTTTTGGGAACCAGCACTCTTCATCCAGCAGGGCCAGTATACCAGGGGGGCCAGCCTTAAAAGAGGGAAACATCCAAACATCATTAAGTACATGACTATATCAGTAATTAAAACCCTTGGACAGCTAGGAAAAAAAGATACCTAACCATGATCCCTATCACATTCACCTGTCCTGCGGTATCAGTTCAACTGCTGCCATAGTAATAGAAATTATTAATAATCTCTCAAGATCCTCTTTTGAAATCATAGAATGGCCTGGGTTGAAAAGGACCTCAATGATCATCCAGTTCCAACCCCCCTGCTATGTGCAGGGTCACCAACCACCAGACCAGCTGCCCAGAGCCACATCCAGCCTGGCCTTGAATGCCTCCAGGGATGGGACATCCACAACCTCAGAGCATTTTTTACAGAAGGTCTCTTTCATGACACTTATACAAGGTGTTTTAAGTGGAAAAAAATTTTTTTTTAATAAAAAGACTAAGGACTACAGAAGACCAGAGCAGAAAATTGCAGAAACTAGTTCTTACTATTGGAACATCTACTGTGAAATGTGTGAATTTCCAAGTTTTGCTTTCACAGGGTGAAAGCAATAGAAGTTCACAGCCTCTTCATGCTTGTAGGCAACAAAGGAAGTTCACACTACTTATCCTAAATTGCACTTATGCACCTAGCACCATGCAGCTCTATACAAAGATAATTTTCTGAGAAGAAAAAATGGGTGACAAGGTGATCTGTTTGCATACTTCCTACAGAACTGATACTAACAGTTTTATTGAAGACATACTTTCAAACCAAGAGAAAACTGTTCATTTCTGCTGCTTATCAAATCACAGTAACAGTAGAGAATTACAAAAGCTAGCTGAATATGGAGACTAGCTTTTCTATGACACAACTAGTGCAGCCATTTCTTGTTGTTCAAGAACAGGAGAATAGGCTTCTTACCGGCTTCTCTATGAGGTCAATGCAGGGCTGCAAGTCCAGGCCAAAGTCAATGAAATTCCACTCTATGCCCTCCCTCTGGTACTCTTCTTGCTCCAGAATGAACATGGTGTGGTTAAAGAGCTGCTGCAACTTTTCATTTGTGTAATTAATACACAACTGCTCAAAGGAGTTCAGCTAATGAAGAAAAGGGTAGAAAGATATTTGAACATTTGCTTTTGAAGGCACATCTACTATTCTCCTAGCACTAAACATCACATTTATGGTTATAGTTCAGCAACTCTAAGCTAGTGTTCTTGTCTGACTTCTAACCCTTTTGCTTATGAACCACATTTCCTGTCACATGCTACTGAAGCACTGCATAAGTCCCAAGGGAAATTCACACGCTGCTCCTTAGAATTTGCAGAAGAATGTTTTGTCATAAACAGCAGAAGAATTACTGTAGCCACTTAACCCGGGAGCAGAAAAACCTCCAGTTTTCTCACAAACTCAGAGATGGCAAGTCCTCTTCATAGGAAGGGGAAGCAATGGAGGTCTGCAAGCAAATTCCTGAAAACGTGTACTGGGAAGTCCTTTTTTAATCCTCTGCAATGTATAAAATCAGAACAAGAAAACCGAGCAAAATTTCTTCATTGTGTCCTGATTTCTTCAAACTGTATGGATAAGGTTAAAAACCAAGGATGTATTTTCGCATTAAACCATACTTAATTTAATGCAGCTGCTGGACAGAGTGGTTCTGTTCTACTTCCTCCATGTTCCAGTAATTCCTAACCATGCATTTCCACTCCCCTCACATTTTATGAGATGTAGCAACCATTAAACTAAAAGTACAGTTAGATAAACAACACGATCAGAGAGAAACAAAGCAATCTTCCTGTGGTTTAGTTCTCTATTTCATTAATAAACGGATCAAGTAACTTTGCAGCTGCACAGAAGCTAGATTCAGAAAAACATAAGTTTATAGGAGTTGCCTGGCTTGTTACCTGGTTGCCATGGGGATAACAGCATAGTTCTTTTCTGGTGTCAGCCACTATTTAAGACTAAACATAATGCAAAGCCACATTCTGAAAGTGTAGTTTCATGGACATTATGAATTAGCCTAACAGTTCACTGTTACCTATAGAGGGAGCTCCCACTTTCCCTTTTTCCATCTCTCCTTTAACTTTCCTTCAACTGCTTCTTTCCTACATTTATCTTGCATCAGTTTTTGTGCTTAGATTCCCCTTCAGAGATTGACTCAATTACATGCCACCATAAGAAAAACAGTATCTGCAGTACTAGTAAATTGGACAGTACAAGAGGGTGTAGCCAGGAACAGCAGAAGGGGAAAGGTGAAAGTTTACTCATTCTCTTATTCAAGAAACTGTTACATCAGTTTAGATAGATGTGAAACCAGACTCTGAACCCCAATTTTAATACTTCTCACAGAGCACAGAATATATCAGAATATGTTGAACCTGATTTGGTCTCCCCTTCTTTTGTCTTTTCAAAAGTCTTTGTCAAAACTAAGTAGCAGAAAGACTTTCTAACAATTCTTAATGATGCTAATAGGTTTCAATGGTTCATATTTTTAATGCTTTGAGATAAAGTAAGGGGACAAAATTTTAACTCCACTTGACATTTTAAAGACTACTAAAGCTACTACTAAGGCTAGCAAACTCATACATACTGAATTATAGAGAATCACAAGTGTCTGGAACTATAAAATTAAAATAATTGTGATGTACATAACAAAAAGGATGTAGCACCATAATAGAAAACAATGAGATAGCAATATTTGCAGTATATACAAACTAAGAAAGAATGAACTACTCGGACACATTATTAAATAACCTGACAGTTCAAATCAGCAGGGATCTCAAATAAAAGCAGGATACACATGACTTCCGAAGCTACTCTATTTTATTCCAGCTTTAAAACCATTTCCTTCAACAATTTCCTACCTTGCTCCACAGTAAACTGAGCTGAGTGCAGGGGCCTGACATCTCCTTACCTCAAAAATCTCAAAACCAGCAATGTCAAGGATTCCAATGAAGGATGCACCCTGTCGCTTGGTCTTATCCAACGCCTTGTTGATGCGCATAACCAGCCACCGGAACATCCGTTCATAAGTGGCTTTAGCCAGAGCCTCAATGGCAAAGTCAGCCTATGCAGAAAGAGAAATATCAGGAGTTGCATTATAATAGTGATATTCCATAAGCGGGAGTAAAGAATACTTTAATAAATTAGCATGTCAAAGCCAACTTTTAGGACCCTGCCTACATGAGAAACCATGGCCTAATATTCAAGAAAAAATAAATAAAATCAAGCCCCTTCCAAAGTAATGTAGTATATTCACATATATCCAAAGACAAGCATTAAAATTACTCTGCAATTTTGAATTTGTGAAAGTCGTTGTTTTCCCCTCAATGCCATCACCCTACCCATGATTAACACAAAAATAAAACAAAGAGTAAGAAATTAAATGTCAAAACAGAAAGACAGTCAGTGAATATTTCTAGATCTCACTTTCCCTTCCCAATCCTTCTCATGTTATGGGGCATGTTTATTTTCACTGAGAATAATGACGTGTTTATGAAAAAGCCATGCAGAGAGTAAGCACGAGGGTTTTACTTTATTTAGGAAGCCATTAGCTTCTAGTTCAGCTTTCATTTAAGAATGCATTCAGCACAGCCTGATTCAAGACTATTAAGAAACATACAAGCAGTTTCAAGGGTGAGATACAAATTCTTCCACCCAAGCAGCTGGCCTACTCAGAAATAGTGTTTTCTATATTATAGCAACTTGAAAATGTCATCCTTGCATAGAGCACTGAAGAAACTTACTCCCCTGAGACAGCCAGTCACTAAAATTAGGAGAGTTGTGCTCTCATTTTTTCCTCATATGAGAAGAAGTGCTACAGGGGCAAGGGTGACTTCTATTTTTACACAGATCAAGAGAGCTAATACTAGAAGAAACACAAATGCTGTATTATTCAAGTTGTAGTTGCCAACACTGCAGCCATGAAGATGGCCATTAAATGCTAAAGAAAATTTTAATTGATTTGTTAGCTTTGTGACAGCAAAATTAATGACTAAAGTACTCATTCACTTGTACAGAATGCCTACCTGTTCTTTGGTCTGAGCTTTCTGGACATAATCTCGCCCAACTTTGATGCGAGGAGTCAGAATACCTCTGGTGAAGTCTGTCACATTGATACCCAGAAGATGAGACACTTTTTGAGCAGCTAAAGAAGGAAAAGGAAACAACAAAGATATTAATGTGTTGGGGTTTTTTTAATGTTTTTCTTAAAGAAAACAAGAGACAGAAAACATTTCTGCAACTGCATTCCCAGGACAGTAATGACTGCTCTCAAAAAGCCATAAAATGAAGAGCAGGTTAATGAAACATGTAATAAGAGGCAATAAAATTAAAAGGTATCTCAATATGAAGTTAGTAAATATTCTTTAATCAGGTATATAAGAAGTAATCATTCTTAGCCTGGTTAAAACAGACACATGCTATGTGTTCCAGTAGAGTAAGCCTTTTCATCTGGTCACTGTTATGTGTACTTTATGTCTAGTTCTTTAACAGTGCCACATTCCTGCCCATGAATAGCTTCAAATCCACATTTGGCAAGACAAAGCATTTCTTTTTATATTTACATGAAGGGGCATGTCATCTCCTTTGACAGTAAGTAACTCTATATAAAAATAGGACAGCAGCATTCCCTATATACTGTAATTGATTTTTCTACTTGCAAGAACTTCCTGTAGGCTTTTTTTGCCTGCACTTTTCTATGGGGAATTTTTTTTAGGGGTGGAGGGGCAGGGACAGGAGATTGGTTACCTGTATTGTCCGGCATAGAGGCTTGGTCTGTGTTGCGCTCCTTCTTGAAGACTATGTTGCCAAGCTGAAGAACACCTGAGATAACCTTCAGAAGACCTTTTGAAATAACAACAGCTCAGTGTCAGACATCAGCAAAAGCCCCAATATGACCCAGTTAACCATGTCATGAAAAGTATGAAGCTCTTCTCAACAGCGAAAAATCTTTCTGGAATTTGGAGAAAAAAACACCACAGCTAAGTAATTCCTCTACATGAATCCCATCCAGGACATAGGACCTTCCCTGCTTCTCCAGTGCAAGACTATGCAGCCTGGGAATATGCCCATCCTCAACATCACTACAGTAAAGTTGGAGACAAGATCCACAGTCACGTCTCAACCTATAACATCCACATTTTTTTATGTTTGTTCCTGATAACCCAAATTCATTTTTTTCTCAGCAAGTACTGTTAAACAAACAAAAAATACAGTTATTAAGAGTGCAAATCAATTAAGGGAAAGAAGTTCCTGCTCCTTTAACTTCATATTGCTTTCAGCTCCTTGACCAAGATCTGTAGACCATACAGACAAACTACAATATAGGGAGGGCAACAGGATGAAGGCAAAAGGGCCTGTACCATAACTAATCACATGCTGAATCATCTCAACCATTATTAAATTATATATTTGTACTTTTGAACAGTGCAAATGCAGCATCAGACATTAGGATAAAAAAGTTCAGTGTCACAGCATCAAGCCAATTTTCACTACATACCTATCAAAGCTCATTGCTAACAGCTTCTTGTTGCCTTGAAAAAATTGGTAGTCACTCATAAAAATGGTCTTCTGCCAAATATTTTTTTCATCTCCTAATTTTTTACCTACTACAGAAACAGCTGCTTTTCGATAGCAGAACGAAGACTCCACAGATTCTGCATCAGGACTAACAGAAGAGAATCATATACGCTCCTAGTGGCATGTTTTGAAATCCAGTGTTTTGACAGCTGAATCTGGAGTCCTGGCACTTGGACATACAGCTTGTTTCAATGTTGTCTCATACACGGAGAAAGCTAGCATTTAGATTATACATCAAAACTAAGTAATCTTACTGCCCAGCCAGCTACTCTATCTATTCTTATTTTAAGCCTAATGAAACTTCATACCTTGAATGGCAAGTACAAAATACTACAGTTATCTTTGCTGTAGTGGTTGGAACCAACAGCTCATCTATGTGACAGCAAAGACATGCCCTAGAGCATACATTAAAAACAAAACAAACAAACAAACAAAGCCACAAATCAAACAACAATAAAAAGAATATAGTAGGACAACTTAGCAATAAATTAGGCTGCCAATTATTTATTTCTGTTTAGGCAAACATGTCTTCACCTCTATAGCAGTTAGTCTTAGATGATTTAGGATATAGTATTAAACTGTGGATAACAAAAGCATGGATTTATAGCTGACTGCACTGTGAGAAGCAACAGCTACAGCATAAGCACATATTCCAGCCACAAGAGCTACAGCCTCCAGCAGAGGAAGCAGTGACCTCAAAAAAAAAACACAGATGCTTGCTACAGTGTAGGAAAAAAAAGTTGTAGTTTTATAAGACCTGAAACATCTACAAACTGAAATTTGGCAGACCATTGGTTCCCAGCCAGTAAGGCAGATTACAAATGAGAGCACAGAAAAAGTGAATAAGTATCACTGCACTTTGTGCTGGCTTTATAAATTCTAGGGAACTGTGCTCCCAGAATCAGACAATATTAATTTCTGATCAGCAGTTCAGTGTTAAGCTGGAAAGAAAGGCACTATAAGCAGGCCATTTTCAAAGTACTAATCCATCCAGTACTAGATTAGATACTTAAAAGCCATTGCTTAGGGGGCAGGGGAGCACACAAGCCTTGCATTACACAAGAGAATGAGGAAAATCTTGTATCTTGGATGTGTTACTCATAAACCAGATATACAGCCCTCAGACTGGGATCAAAACCAGCAAACAGACAAACATTTTCATTGGCAGTTTGACTTCTAAGACTGAATGTATGAACTGAAACTATGCTGGTATATCCTGAGGTGGGTTACTCCAAAGCTACTAAGCTCACCACCTGCACTGTGCTCACTTTGGGTTTGGGCTGGAGGCAGGAGAAACAAAGTAACAACAAAAAAATACCAAAAAATGAAAACAAACCAAAAATAAAAGTCTACAGAGATGTGGTCTATTTCCTCCTTGATTTTCTCGCATTCCAAGCTCTCCAGAGGACTCGTACCTATTTGTTCCTCATCTGGGATGCCCATGATCCTCATAGCTTCCATGGTCTCTTGAAACATATCTTTGTCTTGCTGACCTGGGATCGTGACATGCCCATTGGAAAGGAAGCGGTATTTGTTGTAAGGCTCCAGAAGTAGATCAGCTTAAGAAAAAAAAAAGAAAAGTTACCGTGGTGTTATTTTAATAGACAAGCTACCACTGAGAGAAAACTTCTCACCTGCATATACTAGCAGGTGCTGGATGAATCTGAGACTAAGATCAGTTTTGCTAACAGATGAAAGTTTAATATATTTTAGAATAAAACTGGAGTTTTTCTGCCTTATTTCTTTCTATTCCTCCCTCTGAAATACTCCACTAAAGAAGTGCCAATCATCATTATGCTCTAAGTCTATAAAAAGCAAGGGTTAAGTTTGAAGTAAATTTGCCTTCAACTTGAGATACCTTATTTGTTTCAAGTCACATGAAGGTTAATAAATAGCTCTTGAAATAGTAGCAACTATGAGAAAAGTTGTCTCTTCCTGTTATTCCTCCACATCAATTCGCAGCTCTCACACAACATGCATTCCAATATTAAGTTGAGGCTTTAAAGGTAGGTGTGCTAGCATCCTAGGGTTGCATAGGTGCCAGATGCTTTGCTCCATTCACTTAAATGCTGAGCACATCACAGTAGGATCATTCCTGCATAAGAAGGGCTTACATCATACAAGACTAGACTAAACACAGGACAGTGATTTAGATAAGGAAGGGTGTAGATTCATTTCTGGCAAGGAGACAAGTGCAGGAAAGAACCAGAGAAGCAAGTTTTCAGGAACTGAGAAGTGCAGGGGGAGGGCAGAGGGATGTATGCGTAAGGAGAAGTGGAGAAGGGGCAGCCATACCAAAGAGGCAGAGACAAGAAACTATGAAAAAACAGGTGTAAGTGCATACAGAGTTTGGACCCTCTGCTGCAGTGACAAGAGAACTCCATAACTACAACAAAAATCAAACTTACTCTTCAAATGTTCTCCTGCTCCAGACAGTAGGTAGTAGAAGATGTGAAAGGTTCTCTCCTCTTTGGCTTGACGAATTGCACGTGACTTCTCCAGTAGATCTTCTGAGAGTTAAGGCATATGGCCGAACATACACATCATTTCCTCTTTTATCACAGGAGAAAACCTAGCAGTACTTGATGTTCTTTTTGTGCCAGTTAACAGAGGTATTGATTTAGCAATATCAGCCACTGAGTTCTGGTCTCAGTTCTGTCAGCCTTTGAATGATGGCAATGACAAGAGAATCTTGACTGGTAAACAGAGAAATAGCAGCCATTCATCTGCATTCACCTGGCACAGAGCTAGAAGTGGCTCACGAAATTCCAAAGCTATTTATCTTCTAGCAGTTTATGTTGCCATCTCAGCTTCCTATGTTTAGAACTCATTAATTCATAAGAGATATCCATTGCAGTCACTAAGACCACAAAATACAGTACAGCTACAACAGTAATCTTGCTAGCAAAAATTTAAGTGCCTCCCAACACATTCTCAACTTCATAAACAAAGGTGGGATAAGCTTGCTAAGCATTACTACTGCCACTCTCAATACACTGTTACTTTTAAGTGGTTTCAAAAAGGATACAGGTCTCTATATTGGCACCAACAATGTAACCGTTGACATCAAAGTTGATTCTGATGAACTTGCCCTGAAAGGAAGTTATTGGCAAAAAGGTTAGTATTCAACCTATCCAGTAATTGCAATAAGCAGCAAAGGCTAACCTTGTCTTTTTAATGTAGGAAATTCAGAACAGCTCAGGCAGGTTTTATGCAAAACATAAGATCAGCCAATAGACAAAGTCTATTGATCGCGACAGCAATTTAATGACCAAGACACAAAACACCTTCAAATAAGAATGGGCAGCTTACAATTCAACTTAATTATGTTTCAACCTAGACTTCCCACAACTACTGCATTTTCAGTTTCTGTGCTGTACGGTTCAAACAGTTCCACTTCCATCAATGCCTGGCATCAATCATTTCCATTTAGCTTCAGCTCTGGCTCCTCAGTCTGCCTCAAACACTTGTCCATCTCTCCAGAGCAAGTAAAATAAGGACTGCTATTTGCTCTCCAGGATAAAACTGACTGTAATAAACTTAGGATAAAAATCGGTGCAAACAGATCTGGCACAAGATCAGGTTCCTTCATACTAGAGACCTACCAGAAGTATTTTCTTTATAATTCACTGAATGAAATTCCTTTCCCAGGTTAACTTCAACGAAGTCACACAGATAGCTATCCCATCCCAGTATAGCACTGCACTCAAAACCAGAAAAAGTCCTCCCTCTGAAAAGCTTGGCATACTAAAAATCATGCTGGATAGTAATACTCACAAATCTTGAGGAGTTGTCATTCTTTACTGTCTTGGCATTTCCAAAGGCCTCCAGGATGGGATTAGCCTGGAGTAACTGCCTCTCTAGTTCCCCCTAGAGAGAAATTAGAAATGAATAAAGGAGGCAACAGTTTGCTGCATTAAACTTGGGTCAAACCAGCGCTGAGGCTTCAGTTCACACTAGCTTGGTATCTGTAGTAGAGAAGCCATCTTAGAAGATGATCCCTTAAAACCTTCAAAAGGAGACTTATTAGTTATCCAGGTAAAACAGAAGCATTCACAAAAATGCTTTATTCCTTTCCCCAAGACAAGGGTGTCCCAGTGCTGTCTTTCTGTTAACAAGCAGCCCTTTAAAGTCACTTGGCCACAACACCCCACAGATTTCCCAGAGTCAAAACAAAAAAACCCAAAACATTTCATCCAAGATCAGGCTCTCATCCCAGAAAATGTCTTGCCAGCTAGGTAGGAAGAGTGAGAAAAATCCTTTCTTGCTACTGTGAGCTCTGAACTCTGCTAGCAGTAGATTAATAAGTTAGCCTGAAAAGCTGTAATGTTTGTAAAAACAAACAAACATATAAATATATAAAGAAAACAGCAATACCAAATTGCACTAAGAGTCTATGTTTTCCACGATACAAACAAGCAGAAAACTCTTTTGTAAGGAGGCACACAGAAAAAAAAGAGAATTAGTGGTATCCCACAAACTGCAGGATCGCTCACATTCTACTGCCATATTTGCACACTCCTCCTCCCCTCAGGGAACACAAAATGCTGGAGCTGCAGAAAAAAAAAATCAGAACGTTTATCCCTGCCAAGCACTAGATCATTGGAGCATGTACACCTTTCCCTTCAGGCTCAAGATACATCGCTGGCTGTTTTTAAAAACATTTGTCCTTTGTGTTAAGAATGTGGAGTTCTGCATATTTCAGGATTACTCGAAAAACTTCTGGAGACAGAAAATGACAGTTCAGATGAACAGTTCTCTTTTTAGCAGTTATCAGTATATATTCAAGATTTCCTGTGCATAACAGATGGAAATTGAGTTTGATGTGTGAAAACTGGAATGCACAGGCAAAATATTTAATGGTGTTTAGAAAGAAAAATTGTTGGCATTCATTCTTAAAGTGCATTATAGAACAGGTCACTGTCTCTCTGAAAAAGCAATAGAGTTGTGTTGTGTAGTTGTTGTTTTGTTTTTTAAAGAGGTGGTCCATCAGTAACCAAACAAAGAACTACCAGTGCCTCTTTTCTTGATTCCACAATCATCTCACTTCATGCTTGCAAAGTGCACCGCCAAACAAAATGCCAAACATGACCTCCAGTCCCTGCAGAACTGCACACACACAGAAGGGGCAGCTGCTGCAAACACTTCTATTCATTATAAAGTATACACAACAAGGGGGTTGGTTAACCATGGAAAGGGAAAGCTGGGATACCTGTTCTCTCACAACAGAGCCAGTGTGTAGGAGAAAACCTTGAAAGTAGGGTTCAGTCCTTGGAACTGTGCAGCAGTCACATTTCCCTCTCCTATTCTGGCACATGTACTCATACTGGAACACTCTTCCCTCACCACCCTGCAGTGAAGTTCCAGACCTCTGTTTGTGACTACAAACTGTTGCTACGCAGGAGAGGTCAACACTTCAACTCAACTAAGGCACAAGGAGGAAAGAGATCAAAAGAGTCTGACTTCTTTTTCCTCTAGAAAGAAGTCGGTCTGAATCTGTTCAATTGTTTGGTTAAAAATAAAACTAAGACTATGCTTTGCTACACAAATATCAGAAGTTTACAGAAATTTCTGCTACCAAGCCTCCTCTTCATTCCTCAGTAAGAAAGTGTCCTTAGTGTAACATAGGTGTTGGTAAACCACAGTTTGAAAGTGACTCAGTCTCCTGAACCACATCAAGGTAGAAAAAGGTGTAAGAGAACACCAGCTCAGGGCTTTACAGCAATACAGCACTGTGAGGAAAGGAGAAGGCTAGAGCTGGTCACATCCCTCAGTTCTCATGACTCGTCTGTATGGAGATGGGCATCCAGAAATCACAGCTAGCTTTCACATCTTTTTTAAAAAGTAAAAGATGTTGTTTCCCCTCTGGTTTATGTTGGTTTTGTTTATTTGCTTTTAAACATCTCAGAGATTAGTTTCTATATGCTTTTCCACAACCAGGTGAAAGACTCTCAGATAACTGGATCCCAACAACACTAAATTTGATGGGGAAGGCAGAAAGAGAGCATCAATAATGTAACCTTCATTACAAAGATTTAAACATCAGCAACCACTACCCGTGAACTTCTAATTAGCTGCAAACATTCTCACCTTCACGATTTAACAAGTCAGTAGAGAAGCAGAGGCTACAAAGGGGAAACCATCAGTCCTAACTTCCACAAATGAAGTTTAAGTGAAAACATATTTATATAATTCAATTCACTAGGCCCCTAAAGCAGCTTTAATGCACTTAATACTCACACCATGCAGCTAGAAGCTATTTAGCTGAATATGCTAATGCACTGGACTTGGTGGAAGCAGCCGTAACCTCCAAAGCAAGAGAGCTACAGCTGACAAATATGCTTCATAAATCAGATTTTGCTGAGATACTTCAAAAAACAGGAGCTTAAGCTCAAAACTTCTACAAGAAGACAGCCAAGAAACCTTCCTGGTAGATTAAGTATCACTACTTCCTACACTGTCACTGACAAAGTTCCACATCTAGTCTTGCTAATCAGTGCCAGCAGTGGGCTTTTGGTATTGCAGCTTGAAGGCTTGACACTGTTGTATTCTATCTTAAAGAATAAATCTGTCAGAATCTCAGATGCTCAAAAACAAATAACGTATAACCCCTCATAATATGGTTCCAAGTTTCAGATTTGCAAAGGATTGTTGCCCAGAACACTCCTTACCAACTAACATTTAAGAATCCACAGGTTACACAGTGGAAGAATACTTAGCTTAAGCCCACAATTCTGTTTTCCACATTTAAAATTAGAAAAAGAAAAAAGGAGAATGTTTCTAAATACAGCTACTGACAGACCATGGAAAAAGCCTTCATATGTCTGAAAGTTTGGCATGTAGAAGGGGTTTTTTTTTGGTCATATTCCAGAAGTTACTTATTAGAATGTGTGCGCACAGTACAGCATGCCTTATTCATATACTCTACACACATAATGCATGCCTATACATTAAGCTACTAGCAAAAAACTTTTACTGAGAGATAACACTGGATGCACTTGGCATCTGGAGTTCATTACACAGCTCACCAGTGAACATTTCCAAAGCGCACAACTCTGACTAACAAGCTCACAGTCCTGGAACACCCCGTCTGCAGGGCAGCCTTCCTCATCCATCTTTCTCTGCAACTTGCAGTCACATCTCACTGCTGGGAGGAGAAAGCTAAACACATGCCTACATTTATCTTACTAGGAACACCACACATACTAGATATTCAGTTCTATGAAAGTCTGGTCCAGTTCAATTGTCTCAGAGGAATATTTTTCCAAATAAACTGTTCGTGAACTCCTGGAAGAAAAGTCTTAAAATGCTAGTTTTTAGCACAGAACACAAGTATTCTTTCTTTATATTACTTTAGTCCCCAATCGAACATCCTAATAAAAAGATTATTGTGCACCACACACACACACAAAAAAAACTGTGAATTGTCTATGGGTTTGGTTTAGCTGCAGAAAGTGATATTGGTGTGGAGTGAAAAGCTGCTCGAAAAAAAAAAAAATCACACAATGGGACAGAAAACGCATTCCTGGTGCAGAACGTGCAGTAAACGTGCAGCTCACCTACGAGGATACAACTGATGAATTCGGCAATAGTCCACCGGGGGAGAGGGAGGGGAAAAAAATATAAGTGAGACATTTTCAAAGTCCTCCCACCATCACCACCACCCTCCTTTCATGTGCTGCTACTTGGCTTTTTTCCACCCTTTTAATGTTCTCCTACAATTTCAAAGTTTTCAGCTGAGGTTCACTAGACTACCACTGTATTCTCCAGTTCTGAGACAGTATATGTAATAGCCAAGCCTAACATTAAAAGGTACAGAAGACTGGAGACAACTCCTCCAAAGAAGGATCAGTTTTAAACTTCCTGGACTGGTTATAAGCCTTATGTCCGTGTAAAAAGATCAGGATGGGTGATGTTTCATTTACAGTGTTTCTAGCCCACGAATCCAAGAGGTTGTAGATGAGTATATTCCTGCTGTAGCTTCATTGAATTCAAAGGAGGTTTGACTTAGAACAATGTTCCCCGGCTCATAGTTTTCAACAAACTTTTATTATTTCATAGTTCACCGTCCTCCTCAGCCCCTGATAGATGTTACCATCTAAGCTTTTATTGAATAACATGGCTTTTACCAACAACAGCCAATACATATCTATTATCCAAAGTCAGCACAATAATAAAGCGTCATTAAATTGAACCTAGGTCTTACCTGGTCTTTTTTAGTCTTGTGTGAGGAAGCAACATGAGCCAGATACTGAATGACCTTCTTGGTGTTCTCCGTCTTACCAGCTCCTGATTCACCTCTGTAAAGAAAGTCTGCAATTCATTCACACACACACAAAAAGACATAGGGGGACATATTTCTAACTCCAAAGGGCTACAGAGCTCCTTAAATCCACTCTATCACAACTCCTCTCTCAAAGCCAATAAAAACTGAATCATACCAGAGAGTGGCATGAGTGCAGCTGAATGGAAGGCTATATCCCTCAGCTAGTTTTCCACTGGGCATGGATTCTGTGTGCTGGCACAAAGGAGGCAATAGAAACAAGAACTGTACTTTTTAGTCACTTAGATATGAAAACTGCTACGTGGATGAGGAATAATTCAGAGGCAGATATAGAGCAGTGAAAGGCAAAATGAATCTTGCAGAGCGAGGATCCCTGACTGAGGGCCAACCAATTTTGCTGTGTCAAGAAGAGAAATCGCTGTAATAAATAAGACTATTTGTTACTACATCAGGCTCATCAGAAAGGGTTTTCTTAATCGCAACAGTTGCATCAAATCTTAAGGAGTTCTTCAAGACTTTTCCACTGACAAAACCTTGTTTCCTCAGGAGTTTGGACTGTCTGAAAACCTCCTTCCTTCCTTCAGTTCCCATGAAAATTATTCTGCAGAAAGGATTAGATCTTAGAGGAAATGAAGTAGGACCTTCCTAAACCCTCCAATATTACTCAATTTACTTGAGCCCACCTCCAAGTGCTTACTACTAGAACAGTCCTCCAACCAAGATTTTTAACACAGACATCCAGACAAACTTGCAACTGTTTATATACTCACGTGCAAAGGATGGACTGATCCTCTCGGTCTAGAATAAAATTTAAAATAGTAGTCAGATTTATACTTGAAAATTAAATCAATGTGACAGAAACAAATCAACACAAAATACAAAAACAATAAACTCTGACAAGTTCATCATCAGAAGTATCATCAGAAATATGGCCACGTATCCTCTTTTCTGGAAGCAGAAGCCAACTTCCCACAATCTGCCAAAGTTAAATTTCAGTGCCAAAAGCAGTGCCATTATGTTTTCTTCATCCAGAGAGAGAATATCATTTGCATCAATTTTTCTGCAATCATCACAGAATTCTCTCACTAAATGTTTCTTTATCGCAGAGATCATCTGATACATAGGTACTTGTTATTTATCCCCTTCCCCCCTTCCATTATTCTGAATCCACACTGACAATGATGAGCAGAGCAGAGAATACAGATGGGAGGTGGAGAAAAAGGTGGAAATAGAGCAGGAACCATTAAAAATTCCAAAGAACCAAAATCTCATATCAAACTGAGGCTTCCACCACGAAAAGAAACACTAGAAGCTCAGTGAGAAGTTATTGTTACTTATTTTATACAGAACGGGTTTGAAAGCTACAGTGCTGAACAGCAGCCTAAGTGCTATACAGATAATTTATTTGTGGCACCAATCCCTTAGTATTAACTGAGCAGTCAACAATAGCAGAATCTTTTCTTTTCCATGCTGACAAGCTGCAAAAAACAGGAATAGGAATATTGTACTGAATGCTAAATAGTAGACATGCTAATTCCTGTGCTCATTTCCCAGCTATGGATTACGAAATCTTTCCAGTTACAGAATTTACTTCACCCAGCCTATCTACCATTATCTTCTCCAACATCTTTAACCTCCTTTCAGCTTCCACCTATGACTACACTTCCTCATAGGCAATCCCTGTCTAGTCTTCAACCCACTGCTCCTCAAGCACTTCTATGCAAACATGCTCCCCTGCTTCTGCCTTGATTTCACTTTCCATCCACTCCTCCACTCCGAGTCCCACTTTAGCTCTCAGAGTCTGCATCATATTCTCCCCCCAGTTGGAAGCACTGGGCAGACTGGAGAGTGTCTGTGCCGTGTACAGCTTCACTGGCTGTAGAAATCACAGGGGAAGTGAGACCTGTTCAGACACAGAACAGACTCAGGAACTGTAAGTCATGCACAGAAAGTCCTGCATCACACAAGAGCTATTGAGACACGCACTGTGCCATCAAAATGCGTTTATTTATTTATTTAGGTTAAGATCCAGTCTGAGAGCCTGAGTATCACAGCAGTTATATTTCATCTCGTCACTGTTCTTTTTCCACACTGTACTCCAAATTTGTGTCAGACTCCAGTCTAATCTTTAAACAAACTACAAGCCCTAAGCATTCATGAATAGAAATTCACTGAATTCCTCTAATAAATTATTTCAGCAACTGGTAGCTTTCATCAGTATGTTTACAACTGTGACTATCTCCACGTTTGAGCTGCTACTTTTCCTTTCTCCATTCTCTTAGAGAACATCAGTGCACTCAGTGCTCTCCCCACCAGAGAACTGCTTAGAAGATATAACTGAGTCACCATTCAAGTTTCTTTGTGCAAGATAGTGAGATTGAACTCTAATTACGGAGGGCTTTATAGTCAGGCAGACTTTTCATGGAACAGGAAAAGCAGGTAAATCTACCAAATTTGAGATTCTGTCTTTTCTTAAACTGTCCTGAAAACAATATTGGAAACATTAAGTTCACACACTATGGAGAGGTAACCTGCTCTGAACTTGCTTTGCTGGAAACTGACTGTATTCAGATAACCATAAAAGTTTAGAGGAAAATAATCTGCTTTATACCAGTTAATACCGTTATCAGAAAGAGCTGATCAGCCTACTGGAAGAAAGCAAGCAAAAGAAAATTGTCACTCATATAGTTTTGGACCAGAAAACACTACACATCCAAAACTAGACACCTGCAAGGTTATTAGCATTGCACATTCATTTTTTTCAAGTGCTGAATTTTATTCTTTTGATTTTGAGAGATGTACCTCTCTTTCTGAGGGAGAGGTGAAGGATGGATGTGAGGCAGCCTCAAAGGCCTCACCCATTCCAAGTTCTCAGTGGGTCAATGGCTCAGCAGACACTTCTGCGTGACTGGGCACTGGGAAGGTGGATCAGGGGAATAACTAATGACTCATTTATGGATCGCCTCAGGAAATGTATTCTGCAGTAGTGCAACACTTGGATGCAATGCTCTATCACAAAGCAGCTATGTGAAAGAATAAGATTGTGCCTCTGAATAACATTTGCCTTTTGAAAGCTTGACTAGCCCACTTGTTCTAAAAAAGTTTATATTTGCATTCAGGTACCACAGTGGCTCTTCTAAGAAGCCTATTTGAGAAAAAAATATGTCCCTGATGACACTCCTCACCTCTGGTAACCAACTTTGGTGTTGGAATTATATGCTGGGGCTAATACAGGCAGTAGAGTCCTAAGTGCTTCCATACCACATACCATCTCTTCCCTGCCCTCCAAGGTAGGATCCTTATTGTAGAAAAACACATTGGTAAGCAAAAAAACAAGAAGTTGTATGGAAAAAGAGACCAACATCAGACATCTGACCAACATCAGACAATCCCCAGTTTTCCTTTGGCACTTTGACACTTATGATGATCACAAGTTTTGTTGACTCTCTGAGAAGCTGTTGTAGAGCCACGCTACAATGGGGCAAGGTAGCAACAACACTCTGGAATTACCACAAGAAGCCACGAAGGGGCAAGCACAGGATCTCTCCAGGACTTAACACCAAGCAAGGTGTTGTCAGGTGCTCAGCAGGAAGAGCCACAGACAGTGTTTAAAAGCCCTCCTGGCACTAAGGTTGCCTCCCCCAGCACACTCATCTGGTGGCCTGCTGCAGCTGTGTTAGTCACCTCTGCTTTAAGCCAGCAAGAACGTACCTGCGAGTGCAGGCAAGCCACCGGCAGCCTGCAGACACTGCCATAAAAGGCAACATTCCTGTTTGGAATCCGGGGGAAATTCTTTCCCAGGACGGCAAAGCGGCAGTCATTGGGATAGCTGGAATTCTTCTAATTGTGTACAGACAGACAACTGAATAATGTGTTGAGCAACAGGAAATTGGAGCCTACCAAAGGGCCAAAGAGCTAACAAATACAAAAGCATAACTCTTAGACACGCTTCCAATTAAGTCTTGTTGTAAATGCCGATACTTATTCTCTATACAATGCTGACTTGCGCCATCACGAATCCGAATCCAATTGCCCAGACAAGAAGCCACCTCCACTCCCCCACATTTTTTTTTAGACGATCATTCGACATGGGCGTACTGCACAACCTCAGTCAGCACTTGCCTTTACTGCGCTGTCAGTTGTGCAAGCAACCTACTCAGCAAAAGAGAATGTGCTGGGTACCATAAACTCAGTCGCTTACAATAACACAATCAAGAAACGCCTGATTAAAAGAAATCTGCATCTGCTTTTCAATCCTAAACAGAGTCACTTATTAAAAACAATTCAGAATAACAACTCATTAGTTAATTATAGCAACAGCTCTGTATTTCAGACCAGCTGGCAAGGAAGGCTTTTTATCTAGACTCTTCCTCAGTTCTCATCACCAAAGTATTCAAGAGACCCTAAGAAGCAGCGGCCTCAAGCATCCAGAAATGCAGGAAGTAAGACATCCTTCACATTTAAGTTACACAGCAGGATGGTATAATGAGATCTCTAGATTAATTTTACTATATTAAAAAAACATATCTGACTTCTCTCAGTTTAAAAATAAAAGATCTCATTTTAGACTGCTTCCAGGACCTTCCAGAACACATTAAAAACATAATTAAATCAAAACTTGTTTCGACAAGACAGAAATCTTGTACATTAATGGTTCTCAGATAAAAATTCCACCGCAAAATAACAGATCTGGAAGAATTCTGAATTGCTGCGTTCAAATATATTGGCATTACTGATGAATGAACAGAGCTCTAAACTCTTGATATTTTTTTTTTATACATTTGGGGGTGGAAGAAGAAGAGGTTGGTAGGCTAGAACAGAAGAACAGAACGTGCAATTCAGGCTCCCCATCTCACTTACAGCACATCCTACCAGGCCTTTATCACCCACTTCCTCTGCA